CCCCAAAAAAAAAAGACCAAAACAAAGCAAATCACCAAACAGAAAACCCCCCAAAAAAACCCAACCAAAAAGTTCACCCACAAAACACCCCCAACCCCCCAACCCAAAACTTATAATGGAATGGGATGCAACTTTTTGTTTTGTCATGGAAAACGCTCTTTCTGTGTTTTAAAAAAAAGGCACCGCAAAGATGAGGATCTGTTTGCAGAATGTAGGAAGGCGACCTCTTGGCGACATCTTATCGGATGTCTCAATGTTACCACACTCTTACCAGCGTATTCTTCAGCTGCTAGTCTGTTACCAGAGCAAAGTAGTCTAAGCACTCTCAAAATATGCCTCATCAGTACTTCACACAGTGAATTGGTTGCTCATGCATTTTCACGATTTTGATGGCATTGCTGGAATACGCTATGATAGTTTTCTTCGTTAATGCAATTTAAGAGCAGGAATAATTTCCTGACTGCCATTTTCTCACATGCTTGCCAGGCTTTGTTTGCTTTGAACTTAGCTTCAGAATTTTGGTTTTGAGCTTGTTTTAGTGATACAGGGTAAAATTTCCATCCTTATTTGATAGGTTATTCTTTAATTATTCTTTGGAGGATTGTATTGTTTAGATCAGAGTAGTTTTCCTGTGAGTCTTCAGAACTGCTTGTAGTCTGTCAAATGCCTTTGAGACCTCTTGCCTTATAGTTTTTGTTTTAAATTTTGCTTTTTTGATTATTTCTTAGGTAGAATGCAGCACTTGAAATTAAACATATATTGGCTCCAATTTCAGCGAAGTCTGATTCACCATTGTGCAGGGCAACGTTGTTTGAAAAGTGTGTTCTCGTAGTTAAATTTTCCCGAGGGCAAATCTGTGAAAGCTAGTAGTAGCCATAATGTTACTGGCGTGATGTGTTCCGGTCGTGAGAGATGCGGTTTTGGCCAATTTTGATGTTACTTCTTTTGTTCTAGGTGGAGATGCTTCTATTATTCCAATTTGTGAACCAGAGAACCAGCTTTCTAAGCCAGTGACTGGAGACGATGCAGCTGGACAATCAGCAGAGTGTAGCAGTAACCGTCATCATTTGGGTCCAGAAGATAAAAGGAAATTGGAGAAAATGGCAAGTAATCATATAATCAAGAGAGTAAAAATGGATGATGATGGTCATTTTTCTGTAATCACTGAAGACCTGGGTGTTCAGCAAGTATCTGTGAAACGAGAAGATGAGACAAATCCGAAGAGCTGTGAATGTTCTGCAGAGATGCAAACAGCTAATAAGGAGACTGGCTTAGGGAGACCGAAGGTAGTAGATGTTTACAGAACTGGAGCAAAATGCGTACCTGGAGAGCTGGGTGATGCCCGAATACCTGGGCTACGGTATCACCGTGTGGGACTATTACGAGTGAAGCCAGGTCGTGGGGACAGAACATGCTCTATGTCCTGCAGTGATAAACTGGCTCGCTGGAATGTGTTAGGGTGTCAAGGAGCTCTTCTGATGCATTTCCTGCAGCATCCGTTGTATCTGTCAGCAATTATAGTGGGGAAATGTCCATATAGCCAAGAAGCTATGCGGAGAGCAATTATTGAAAGGTAAGTGCTCTCCTTTAGAAATCAGATTGCGTGTATGGAGACAGTGAGTTATGGAAGACAACACGTGTCATGCAAATATCAGGACTTTGCACCAGAGTAATTTTCAGAAAATGGGAATTTCTGCAAATTTAGATTTTCAGAAAGTAGCCCTGCATAGTATGGAGAAAAGGTAACTACTGCTCATAGATCAGACTTGAAGATTCACAAAAGAATTTCCAGTAGATTCAGGATCCCCTTGGTTGTCCCTTCATGGAGCAGTGAGAAGCTGTTACCCACCTGGGTTTTTCTAGAAGCCTTCCAGCAGAAAAACCGGCCATAAGGACACAAACTCAGCGTAGTGAAGTTTTTTAGTGTAGCGAAGTTGAACTTTTCTTGCCCTCTTCCTGAATGTATTTCCTCAGGTAGGGTCAAGAAAAGTTTTAATTTATTTAGTTATCCATACTCCACAAAGTCATTCTGAATATCTGTAAGTTCCCTTTAATAGAACTGGGTTGGTGAGCAAAAGCAGCTTTTATTCCATGCAGGACCGTTCCTAAAATTAAATTAAAAAGCTGCCAAATCTGTCCATCCTACAGGCAATCTGACTGAAATGACTCCAAATGAATGCATGGGTAGGTTTTTGCACTGTGGAAAGAATGTCTTTTTGGTTGTCCTTACAAACCTTTTTATAACTTATCCCTAAATGAACTACTTAGTTCTTCTGAAGCTTTTGCTGATTTTAGACCCTGCTTTCAGACTTACTTTCCAGCAAGTAAAAGATGCAGTATTTTAAACTTGCTTTGAAGGAAACTGTAGTACAAACAGTTTACTTTTTGCTGTCTTCCTAAGTTTGGATCCAAACTTAAAATTTTCCAGGAGGTTAATACTTGGGTTACTGCATATGCACACAAGTCCATCCCATGTAAAATTTCAAAATCATATTGTCAGTCTGCTCTCAGTAGAGGTGTTTGAAAACTGCCATTCGAAAGTTTTGACGGTATCATATGCCTTCAGGTGTGCTGTGCAGCCTATGGAAACTGAGTTCAAGACCTAATGCAGAAATTGCTGTGGAGTGGTGGAGGACATTTAGGTTTAGAAAGATGAGTGCTGTTTCGCAACCGGTTTGGAAGGTCATGATTTCATGTCAACGCTTGTTTCGATTAGTGTTAATTGTCAGTTTGTTGCTTTTTGAGCAAAACTTTGTGCTTCTGGGACACTTCACACTTGCATGCGAGCTAGTAGTTCTCATTGGTCTATTCCACCACTTATATTCACACTGATTTGGATGTGCGCTGCAAACTCACCTTTGGTAGTCTTCATGCATTCTGAGGGATGTACTTCAGAATTCTACCACGAGACTGTGGGCCTTCAGCTTCTGTAAAAGATGAGGTTTGTGGCTTTGCAATTCTGGCTTTGGCATCTCATCCTCCTGCTCTGCAATATAAAAAGAAGTGGAATTTTTGAACCTGATCCACCTTTAGGAATGACTGGAATGGCAGATAGAGGAGGCAAAGAGGAGAGGTACTCTGCTGGACCTCATGCTCGCCAGCCACTGCTCATCAGGGGTGTGAAGGTCGAAAGAGGCCTTAGTTGCAGTGACCATGAGATGGTGGAGCTCAGGATTCTGAGGGGACGGAGGAGAGTAAAAAGCAAGCTCACAACCGTGGACATCAGGAGAGCAGACTTCAGCCTCTTCAAAGATCTTCTTGGAAGAATCATATGGGATAAGGCCCTGGACACAAGAAGGGCCCTGGTTAATATTCAACGATGACCTCCTCCAAGCTCAAGAATGGTCCATCCTGACGAATAGGAAGTCAGGCAAAAATGTCAGGAGGCCCGTGTGGATGAACAAGGAGCTCCTGGCCAAACTCAAAACACGAAAAGGAAACATATGGAGGGTGGAAGCAAGGGCAGGTAACCTTGGAGGAATATAGAGACGGTGTCTCTGTATGCAGGGATCAGGTTGGGAAAGCTAAAACCCAACTGGAATTGAATCTGGCAAGAGATGTGAAAGACCAGAAGGGCTTCTCTAAGTACACAGGTGACAAAAGGAAGGCTAGGGAAAATGTGGGCTCACTGGTGAATGAGATGGGGGACCTGGTCACACAGGATGTGGAAAAGGCTGTGGGGGTATTGAATGCTTTCTTTGCCTCAGTCTTTACTAGCAAGACCAGCCTTCAGGAATCTTAGAGGGTTCCCCCTAGGGTCCTAGAGACCAGGGGGAAAGTCTGGAGCAAGGAGAACGTACCCTTGGTGGAAGAGGTTCAGGTCAGAATACTAGATATGTGTAAGTCCCTGGGTCTTGATTGGATGCTCTCAGCAGGAGAGCTGAGGGAGCTGGCAGATACTATCGCAAGGCCACTCCTGTTAGTCTTTGATCGATCATGGCAGTTGGGAGAAGTTCCCAAAGACTGGAGGAAAGCAAATGTCATTCTGTTCTTCAAGAAGGGCAAGAAGGAGGACCCAGGGAACTACAGGCTGGTTAGCCTCACCTCGATCCCTGGGAAGGAGATGGAACACCTAATCCTGGAGACTGTTTCCAGGCACATGAAAGGCAAGAAAATCATCAGAAGTAGTCAGCATGGATTCACCAAGGGGAAGTCATGCTTGACCAACTTGAAAAACTTCTGTGATGAAGTGCCTGGCCCGGTAGACGCGGGGAGAGCAGTGGATATAGTCTGCTTAGGCTTTTGACACTGCCTGTTGTAAGATGCTCATAGAGAATCTGTTAAAGTATGGGCTGGACGAGCAGACAGTGAGATGGATTGAAAACTAGCTGAATGGCTGAGCCCTGAGGGTGGTGATCATTGGACAAAGTGTAGTTGGAGGTGTAACTAGCCGTGTACCTCAGGGGTCAAGTAGGTCCAGTCCTGTTTAACATCTTCGTTAATGACCTGGATGATGGCGCAGTGTACCTCCAGCAAGTTTGCTGATGACGCAAAACTGGGAGGAGTGGCTCATACGCCAGGGGATTGTGCTGCCATCCAGAGGGACCTCGACAGGCTGGAGAAAGGTAGGAACCTCATGAAGTTCAATAAGGCGAAGCGCAAAGTCCTGCACCTTGTGGAGGAGCAGCCCTATGAACCAATATGTTCTGGGGGCTGCCCAGCTGGAAAGCAGCTTCATAGAAAAGGACCGGGGGGTCCTGCTAGACCCCAAGTTGAACATGAGCCCGCAGTGTGCCGTGGCAGCGAAGGCGGCTAATGGTATCCTGGGCTGCATTAGGCAAAGTATTGCCAGCAGGTCCAGGGAGGTGATCCTTTGCCTCTACTGGCACTGGTGAGGCCACACCTGGCGTGCTGTGTCCAGTTCTGGGCTCCTCAGTACAAGAGAGAGACATGGACATACTGGAGAGAGTCCAGCAAAGAGCCTTGAAGATGTTTAAGGGCTTTGAGCATCTCTCATATGAGGAAAGGCTGGGAGAGCTGGGACTGTTCAGCCTAGAGAAGAGAAGGCTCGGGGGGGGGGATCTTATCAGTGTGTATAAGTACCTGAAGGGAGGGTGCAGAGACGATGGAGCCAGGCTCTTTCCAGTGGTGCCCAGTGACAGGACAAGAGGCACTGGGCACAAACGGAAGCCCAGGAGGTTCCCTCTGAACATCAGGAAACACTTTTTCACTGTGCGGGTGACGGAGCGCTGGCACAGGTTGCCCAGAGAGGTTGTGGAGTCTCCCACCTTGGAGATACTCAAAAGCCGTCTGGACATGGTCCTGGGCAGCTGGCTGTGGGTGGCCCTGCTTGAGCTGGGAGGGGTTGGACCAGATGACCACCGGAGGTCCCTTCCCCCCTCAACTGTTCAGTGATTTACTGGTGTGGTTCAGGACACCTGACATGTGACAGCTTGTGCTGGTCAGCTGGAAAAAGACTTAAGAGTTGTGTCAGACTGGAAAGGCAAAGCTTATGTGTGTTTCCATGGTGGTAAAAATTTGTCTGCTTCTTTGACCTAAATTATATCCAAGACTTCATTTTTGTCCCTACTGTGAATACTAGAGCTCTGACAACACAACCTGTCACCTCAGGGAAATGTATGTGGGAGGTGAAGTGAACTGCTGTTAAGTGAGGGAAGTCATCTGCTGTGCACTGGCTTTTGTGCTCCTCAGGTCCTTGAGTTGATGAAAACTGTCCCAGCAACAAAAGGATAGGAAGTGGATATCTTTTGTGCTTAGGACGTTGAATCAGTACAACAAAGGAATCTGCAAGCATTAGAGGAGGGTAAATGGAACTGGGCAGAGTGGAGGGAAAGGAGAGCAAGAAAGCAACCAGGGAGCTGAACTACTCCCTTTAAGAGGCAGTTACTAGACCAGTATTCTGAAAGGTTTGACTTGGTTTAGTAACTTCTTTTCTCCATAGCCTTGCATCCTTCTAGGATGGTTATAAAAGAGGTCATAGTATATTAATAGGGGAAGGTCTAGCTACCTGCCCAGTGGAGCTCACTGGATAATCCTTTCCTCACTCTGTAACACATGGGACAAGAATTTGCCCAGCCTCATTAGTCTTACATTGCAAAGTCAGGCAGTTTTTCAGACTATTACATCTGACAGTATGA